ATTTACAGATACGTGTATAGGAAAAACTCTTAATAGGATATTTGGCCTCACACAGCCTAAAATCCACACTGCTCCTAAATGTTCCATCTATTTCACCATCCCGTACAAAGACCCACTCAGTTTCACCCTTAGAAACAAACTTCAGAAGTTTCTCAATGTACTGTACAGTATACTATCCACAAATTTCTGTTACAGTAGTCTTCAAAGCCCAGAGTTCAATTAAAAAATTCTTTTGAGCTAAAGATACCATACCCACACACTTGTAATCTTCAGTTGTTTATCGATTTACGTGTGTTAGCTGTAGGGCAGTATATATAGGTAAAGTAAAAAGACACTTGATTATCGCATCCATGAGCACTTGTGCCGTTCCGTCCGAACATGCCAGTTAATCACACAACCACCACATTCAACTTATCAAAACCACGCCCACCAACATTAGTCTGAATTCTCAGTTCTTGGCAGGAGCAACTGTGAGACGGACCTCCTCATATTGGAAGCCTTGTACAACACAAAATAAAGTCGCCTATTTGTGATATGGCTTCCTGTGAATTGTTGTGTTTTTCTCACTAAGGCTCGTCTCAATTAAGGTAATACAATACCTCCTGTATGTTTTATTTTGTTCTGATTTTAGTTGTGGACTTAAGTCTCTTGTCATATTTAGTGGTTTTAATTTGTAACGCGATGCTACTTTTACAAGTTTTGCAGAAGGTAAATTTTAGAATAATGTTTTATTTTCTTGCATATCAACTTCAATTTTTAGAACTTTTTGTCTGTTTTCTAGGTTCTGATGATGGAAAATGATTTTTCGAATCGTTAGTAATTATAGAAACTAAACTTAGTTAAGATGTTTGAGTTTTCCCTGGTTCTCCTCTTCCTTAGGAAACTACTCTTTCCACGTAACAAGTTCATTGCTGAAGTTTACGCCCCAGCAGTGGGTCATCTCCAGCAGTATTAGAGCCGTGGGTTCCTCCTCAGTGTTAGAGCCGTGGGTTCCTCCTCAGTGTTAGAGCCGTGGGTTCCTCCTCAGTGTTAAGGCCGTGGGTCCTCAGCAGTGCTAGAGCCGTGGGTCCTCAACAGTGTTAGAGACCGTGGGTCCCCCATCATTTTAGAGCCGTGGATCCACAATTATGTTAAGGCGGCGGCACACTGACCTCTAACCTCCAAACATGTTTGCCCGTTTTGCTGACTGTTGGCCTGACGGCCCAGCAAGCAGCAGGATTTTTGTTGTTGCCAGAAATGGACACCGGTTTGGCCGGTATCTTAGCTGGCCGGATTAGTGCTCAAATGAGCTTCATATAATTCCAAGTAAAAAGGGAATTAAATCATGAAACAATATTTAGTCAAAATATGACACATAAACGGTGACATATTCCCATTTATTCGTCACTTTAAAACTTTTTTAGTATTATTAAATCATTATTCAGTGTGTTCTTTGGCCAGCCAGCCGCCGCCGCTCTTAAACAAACTTCACAACGCACCCATTGTTTTTTCTCTGGCTTTTACAGACGCCTCATTTGCTTCAGCAATTGAAGAACGATAGCACAACCCTGAAAAACTTCAATTGTAGTAACTGGATCCATAGCGAACCTTTTCTAGATGCGCCAACAAAACATCCCAGTGTGACGCAAAACGTCTCTTCGTTTTGCTGGCCGGACCGTGTTAGCCAAACATGTTTGGAAGAAAAGGCCCAGTTAGCCGCCTGTAAAGACAGAGGTACCCCAGCAGTGTTAGAGCCGTGGGCCCCCAGCAAAGTTAGTCATGGAACCTCTAGTAGAGTTAGCTGTGGGCCCCCAGCAGTGTTAAAACTGTTGGTCCTCCCAGCAGTGTTAGAAACGTGGGTTTCCCTACAGTGTTAGCTGTGGGCCCTAAGCAATTTTAATTGTGGGCCACTTAGCAGTGTTAGAGCTGTGGGCCCCCAGCAATGTATACTATACAAACAGTAGGAGCGTTAGAAATAAAATAGGCTTGTTGAGAGCGGTTGTATGTACCGAGAATGTAGACGTCATAGCAATCACCGAAACTTGTATGAATCTGGCGAGCAAAAATTATTTATCAGAGTACAACATAGAAGGGTACAACCTTTTTCACAAGGACAGGGAATGTAGGAAGGGGGGAGGGGTCGCACTCTTCGTCAAGGATACATTAAAATGTTGTATTAATAATTCAATAAAAGGTGAAATAGGAGCCGAGTCTGTATGGGTAGAAATCACGGAATGAAGAGAAAAATTAATAATGGGAGTGATTTACAGGCCTCCAAGTCTTGGGAAAGAAGCAGCTCAGCCCATATGGCAGGAAATGAGTAGGGCAGCAAAATATAACAACCTGTGCATTATGGGGGATTTCAACTTCAGAAATATTGACTGGGACATTGGGACAACATTGTAGGTGACTATGAATCTGAAGACTTCCTAGACGCAGTACAGGACAATTTTTTGAAACAACTAATTACAGAACCTACTAGAAGTGACAATATATTAGACCTGATATTAACAAATAAAGAAAATATTATCAGAGATATCACAGTAGGGGAAGAACTAGGTAACAGTGATCACAGAGAAATCGGGTTCACCCTAAATTGGGAAACGAAAAACAATTGCAATATGGTCAGAGTCCCAAACTTTCGGTTGGCGGATTATCAGGGGTTAAGAAGCTACCGAGGTGAGGTCACCTGGGAACAGTCACGTCAGTCCCCAGTAGGAAGGGGAAAGGTCATAGATGACACAACAATTGATCATGACTATAATATATTCACTAGTATACTACATAAAGCACAAGAACAAAATATACAAGACAGAAAAATTAGGTCAAATAAGAATGAGCCAAGGTGGATGACCAGAAAACTTAAACATGACATAGGAATAAAGAAAGGAATATATAAGAAACTAAAGGGAGGGGAGGAGCAGCTCAGAAACAGGTATAATGAACTATCTAGGAATGTTAAGAAAAATGTAAGGAAAGCAAAGAGAGACTATGCAACCAAAATAGCAAGAGAATCCAAGGCGAATCCCAAGGGATTTTTCCAGGTATATAGGACAAAGGTCAAGGACAAAGTTGGGCCTTTAAAGTCAGGGAAGGGAGAAGTGATAAATGGCAGTGAAGAAATAAGCAAGGCATTGAACAGCTACTTCTTATCAGTTTTCACAGAAGAAATTCGCAAGGAAATTCCAGAGGTGGAACTGATATTTAGGGGAAAGGAAGAAGAGAAATTAATGAATATCACTATCAGAAAAGAGGATGTTCTTAAGAGGATAAATAAACTAAAGAAGACAAAATCCTCAGGGCTGGATGAAATTTTCCCTCGAGTCTTAAAAGTGTGTAGGGAACAGTTTAGCGGACCCCTCGTAAATTTATTTACAAAATCATTAGACACGGGAGGAGCATCAGTCAAATTTCAGTTTGACGTCAGTAGATTTCTTGTAGGAGCAATCTCAAGGCAACATGTTTAGAGAAAAGTCTAACTCCATGGGTTTAGGAAATTCTAATAAACGGATGTTTTTTAGACTTTAGCAAAGCATTACGAGTACCGTCAGAAGTTCAGAGAAAAATTAAGGCTCATGGTATCGAGGGGAAAGTTTTAAATTGGATAAAATCATGGCTCACCGATAGAACGCAGAGGGTCAGTGTAGATGGTGTTAAATCTGAGTGGGGCCGTGTAACCAGTGGGGTTCCCCAGGGGTCAGTACTAGGCCCACTCTTGTTCATAATCTACATAAACGATCTAGATACTGGGATCAGCAGTGACATAAGCAAGTTTGCGGATGACACCAAAATAGGGCGGCAGATTAATTCAGGGCAGGATGCAAATGCATTACAGGAGGATCTAAATAAACTGCAGGGGTGGTTTGAAATATGGCAAATGAAATTCAACACCAGCAAGTGCAGCATACTTAATATTGGAAGAACAAATACTGTCAATGTATACAGCCTTAACATCAACCTAGAGAAGTCGACTTGTGAAAGAGACCTAGGGGTACTTGTAAGCCCGGACCTACGGCCTAGAAAACAGTGCATTAATGTTCGAAATAAGGCAAACAGAGTATTGGGTTTTATATCTATAAGTGTAAGTAATAAGAGTGCAGAGGTGTTATTGTAACTATATCTTGCGCTAGTCAGGCCGCACCTACTAGGCGGTTCAGTTCTGGTGCCCTTATTATAGAATGGATATCAATTCACTAGAGTCGGTGCAGCGAAGAATAAAGAAAATGATTCCGGGACTTAGAAACCTTCCATATCAGGATAGGCTAAAGAAACTAAACTTGCAATCATTAGAAAGACGAAGAGTGCGGGGAGATATGATAGAAGTATTTAAGTGTGTGAAAGGTATCAATAAAGGGGATATAGATAAAGTTCTCATAATATCCGAGCAGGATTGGACTCGAAGCAACGGATTTAAGTTAGATAAGTTTAGGTTTAGGAGGGAGATAGGAAGGAACTTGTTCACAAATTGGGTGGTGGACGAGTGGAACAAGCTTAGCAACTTTGTAGTAAGTGCTGGAACGCTGGAAAGTTTCAAAAGGAGACTGGATAGATTCATGGATGATAGAGAGTGGTAATAACTCTCGACAGGAGCTGCATGCACAGGCCAACCGGCCTATTGCAGACTCCTTATTTTCTTATGTTCTTATGTTAGACCGTTGGTCCCCCCAGCAGTGTTAGAGCCGTGGATTCCCCAGCAGTGTTAGAGCCGTGTATCCCCCATTGGTGTTAGAGCCATGGGCACCTCAGTAGAGTTAAAGAGTCCTGGGTCCTCCATCAGTGTTGGCTATGGGCCCCCAGCAGTGTTACAGCCATACTTCCTCCAGCAGTGTTAGCACCGTGGGTCAACCAACAGTGTTAGAGCTGTGGGTCCCCAGCAGTGTTAGAGCCGTGGGTCCCACCGCAGTGTTAGAGCCGTGGGTCCCCCAGCAGTGTTAGAGCCGTATGTCCCCCAGCAGTATTAGAGCTGTGGGTCCCCTGCTAGTAGCCTGGAGCCGTGGGTCCCCCCAGCAGTGTTAGGAGCCATGGGTCCTAGCAGTGTTAGAGCTGTGGTCTTCCCAACAGTGCTAGAGAGGAGCCGTGGGTCTTCCCAACAGTGCAGAGACGTGGGTCCCAGCAGTGTGAGAGCTGTGGGTCCCTCCGCAGTGTTAGAGCTGTGGGTCCCCAGCAGTGTTAGAGCCGTGGGTCTCCCAACATGTTAGAGACGGGTCCCAGCAGGAGAGCCAGGGGTCCTCCGCAGTGTTAGAGCCGTGGGTCCCCCAGCAGTGTTAGAGCCGTGGGCACCCCCAGCAGTGTTAGAGCTGTGGGTCCCCTAGCAGTGTTAGGAGCTGTGGGTCCCCCAGCAGTGTTAGGAGCCAGGCCTGCTATGTTCGAGCTGTGGGTTCCCCAGGAGCAGCTGGAGCCGTGGGTCCCAGCAGTGTTAATATGGGTCCCCAGCTGTGTTAGAGCCGTGGGTCCTGGCAGCGTTAAAACCGTGGGTCCAGCAGTGTTAGAGCTGGGTCCCCCAGCTGTGAAACCGTGGGTCCCCCAGCTGTGTTAGAGCCGTGGGTCCCATAGTGTCAGAGCCGTGGGTCCCCAGCAGTGTTAGAGCTGGTCCCCAGCACTGTTAGAGCCGTGGTCACCCAGTGTTAGAGCCGTGGGTCCCCAGCAGTGTTCGAGCTGTGATTCCAACAGCAGTGTTAGAACCGTGGGTCCCCCAACAGTGTTGAGCCGTGGGGTACAGTGTTAGAGCCGTGAGTTCCCCCAGCAGTGTTAGAGCCGTGGGTCCCCAGCAGTGTTAGAGCCGTGGGTCACCCAGCAGTGTTAGAGCATGGGTTCCCCAGCAGTGTTAGAGCCGTGGTTCACCCAGCAGTGTTAGAGCCGTGGGTTCCCAGCATGTTAGAGCCGTGGGTCTCCCAGCAGTGTTAGATTCGTGGGTCCCCCAGCAATGTTAGAGCTTGGGTCTCATGTTAGAGCCGTGGGTCCAGCAGTGTTAGAGCCGTGGATCACCCAGCAGTGTTAGGCTGTGGGTCCCCATCAGTGTTAGATCTGTGGGTCCCCAAGTAATGTTGGAGGTGGGCCCCAAGCAGTGTTAGAACTGTGGGTCCCCAGCAGTGTTAGAGCCGTGGTTCACCCAGCAGTGTGAGCCGTGGGTCCCCCAGCTGTGTTGAGCCTTGGGACCCCAGCAGTGTTTGATTCGTGGGTCCCCAGCAGTGTTAGGCTGTGGGTCACCCAGCATTGTTAGAGCCGTGGGTCCCCAGCAGTGTTAGACCGTGGGTCCCCCATCAGTGTTAGAGCCGATGGGTCCCCCATCAGTGTTAGATCAATGGGTCCCCCATCAGTGTTAGAGCTGTGGGCCCCAACAGTGTTAGATCTTTGGGTCCCCAATGGTGTTAAAGCTGTGGGTCCCAAACAGTGTTGGAGCCATGGGCCCCCATCAGTGTTAGAGCTTTGGGTCCCCCATCAGTGTTCGAGCCGTGGGTCCCCCATCAGTGTTAGAACTGGGCCAACAGTGTGTTAGAGCCGTGGGTCCTCTATCAGTGTTAGAGCCGTGGGTCCCCAACAGTGTTGACTGAGGGCCCGCCAACAGTGTTAGAGCCGTGGTCCCCAACGGTGTTGGAGCCATGGGTCCACAATAGTGTTAGAACCGTGGGTCCCCAACAGTGTTGGGGCCATAGGTCCCCCAAGAGTTGTTAGAGCCGTGGGTCCCCCATCAGTGTTATAGCTGGCCCCGAATAATGTTATAGCCGTGGATCCCCATCAGTGTTAGAGGTGTGGGTCCCCTAACAGTGTTAGAGCTGTGGGCAAGAATAGCGTTAGAGACGTGGGTCCCAATCAGTATTAGGCCGTGGATCCCCATCAGTGTTAGAGCCGTGGGTCCCCCATCAGTGTTAGATCCGTGGGTCCCCATCAGTGTTGAGCCGTGGGTCCCCCATCAGTGTTAGAGCCGTGGGGTCCCCCATCAGTGATAGAGCCGTGGGTCCCCAACAGTGTTAGAGCCGTGGATCCCCCATCAGTGTTAGAGCTGTGGGTCCCAAATAATATTGAATTGGGCCCCAAGCAGTGTTAGGCTGTGGGTCCCCCAGCAGTGTTAGAGCCGTGGTTCACCCAGCAGTGTTAGAGCTGTGGGCCTCAACAGTGTTCGATCTCTGGGTCCCCAATGGTGTTAAAGCTGTGGGTCCCAAGCAGTGTTGGAGCCGTAGGCCCCCATCAGTGTTAGAGCTGTGGGCCAACATTGTTAGAGCCGTGGGTCCTCTAACAGTGTTCGAGCCGTGGGTCCCTCATCAGTGTTAGTGCTGTGGGCCCTCCAACAGTGATTGAATCTTTGGGTCCCAATAATTGTTAGCTGTGGGTCCCAAACAGTGTTGAGCCGTGGGCCATCAGTGTTAGGCTTTGGGCCCCTAACAAGATCTTTGGGTCCCCAATGGTGTTAAAGCTCTGGGTCCCAAACAGTTGTAGAGCCAGGTCTATCAGTGTTGAGCTGGGCCCCTAACAGTGTTACTGCCGTGGTCCCCATCAGTGTTAGAGCTGTGGGCCCCATCAGTGTTGGGCAGTGGGTCCCCCCATCAGTGTTAGAGCCGTGGGTCACTCATCAGTGTTAGAGCTGTGGCTCCCATCGGTGAGCCGTGGGTCCCCATCAGTGTTAGAGCCGGGCCCGCAACAGTGTGTGTTAAGCCGTGGGTCCCCAAGAGTGTTTAGAGCCGTGGAATTTAGCAGTTTTGAGCCATGGGTCCTGTGGTGTTGGGGATACGGTTCTAACACTGATGAGTTTACAGCTCGCGTAGGTCCTCCAACAGTGTTAGGGCCCAGTTAGTGTAGAGGCCCCACAGTGATTTGGGGGCCCAATCTCAAAGTTATTAGAGCCGTGGGTCCCCATCAGTGTTATAGCTGTGGGCCCCAATAGTGTATAGCCGTGGATCCCCATCAGTGTTAGAGTGTGGGCCCCCAACAGTGTTAGGCTGTGGGCAAGAATAGCATGAGCCGTGGATCCCCCATCAGTGTTGGGCCGTGGGTCCCCATCAGTGTTAGAGCCGTGGGTCCCCCATCAGTGTTAGATCGTGGGACCATCAGTGTTAGAGCGTGGGTTAACAGTGTTAAGTGGGTCCCCCATCAGTGTTAGAGCCGTGGGTCCCTCATCAGTGTTAAGGCAGTGGGTTAGCGGTGTTAGGCTGGCGGCCAACAGTGTTAGATCTTTGGGTGCCCATTGATTATTTAAAGCTGTGGTCCCCAAAACGAGTGTTGGAGCGTTGGCCATCAGTGTTGACTTTGGTCCCCATCAGTGTTAGAGCCGTGGGTCACCATCAGTGTTAGGCTGTGGGTCCCAGCAGTGTTACGTGGGTCCTCTATCAGTGTTAGACTTTGGGTCTAAGTAATGTTGGAATTTGGGCCCCAAGCAGTGTTAGAGCTGTGGGTCCCCAGCAGTGAAGCCGTGGTTCACCCAGCAGTGTTAGAGCCGTGGGTCCCCCAGCTGTGTTAAACCTTGGGACCCCCAGCAGTGTTGGACTTCGTGGGTCCCCAACAGTGTTAGAGATGTGGGCCCCCAACAGTGTTAAATATTTGGGTCCAATGGTGTTAAGCTGTGGGTCCCCAAAGCAGTGTTAGAGCCATGGGCCCCATCAGTGTTAGAGCTGTGGGCCCCCGACAGTGTTAGATCTTTGGGTCCCCAATGAATTGTTAGCTGTGGGTCCCCAAACAGTGTTGGAGCCGTAGGCCCCCATCAGTGTTAGAGCCGTGGGTCCCCCAAGGTGTTAGAGCCGTGGGTCCCCCCAGTGTTAGAGCCGTGGGTCCCCCAACAGTGTTAGAGCCGTGGGTCCCCATCAGTGTTAGAGCCGGGGTCCCGTCAGTGTTAGAGCCGTGGGTCCCCAACAGTGTTAGAGCCGTGGGTCCCCCATCAGTGTTAGATGGCGGTCCCCAAGTAGTGTTGGAATTGGGCTAACAGTGTTAGAGGCTGGGTCCCCAGCAGTGTTAGAGCTGTGGGTCCCCAAACAGTGTTGGAGCCGTGGGCCCCCATCAGTGTTAGAGCTTTGGGTCCCCCATCAGTGTTAGAGCCGTGGGTCCCCATCAGTGTTAGAGCTGTGGCTCCCCAACATTGTTAGAGCCGTGGGTCCCCATCAGTGTTAGAGCCGTGGGTCCCCATCAGTGTTAGAGTTGTGGGCCCTCAACAATGTTAGAGCTGTGGGTCCCCAATAGTTGATGGCTGTGGGTCCCAAACAGTGTTGGAGCCGTGGGCCCTATTAGTGTTAGAGTTTGGGTCCCCCATCAGTGTTTGAAGCTGTGGGTCCCCATCAGTGTTAGAGCCGTGTGCCCCAACAGTGTTAGAGCCGTGGGTCCTCTATCAGTGTTAAGTCGGTGGTCCCAACAGTGTGTTTAGAGCCGTGGGTCCCCCATTAGTGTTAGTGCCGTGGATCCCCCATCAGTGTTAGAGCCGTGGATCCCCATCAGTGTTAGAGCCTGGGTCCCCCATCAGTGTTAGAGCTGTGGGCCTCCAACAGTGTTAGAGATATGGGTCCTCTATCAGTTTAGAGCTGTGGGTCCCCAAGTAATGTTGGAATTGGGCTAGCAGTGTTAGAGCTGTGGGTCCCCAGCAGTGTTAGAGCTTGGGTCCCCAAACAGTGTTGGAGCCGTGGGCCCCCATCAGTGTTAGAGCTGTGGGTCCCCCATATCAGTGTTAAACCGTGGGTCAGCAATACGTAACTTCT